CACTGAGTGGCGACGGTGGCAAGGAAAAACTCCCTAAGATGTTTTAAGAGGAAGAAACCTTGAGATGGGTTACTTGTTTGTGGATGGTTTAAATCCAACTATAAATGGATACAAAGTACAATGTTTGAATTGTTCTTCAATAAATACAAACCAATTTTGTCTAACTGCTGTGGTACAAGAGTGCACATAAGTGCACATTTTACAAGAGGAACAAAACACTTCAAGACCTGTTGTTCTTGGACAATAGTCAACTTCAGGGCGGTGACAGTATATCTGTTTCATGTTATAGTGCAACATACTGCCTTGTCATTGATTATTTTCCCTTAACGGTACTCCCCTAAGTGTTTTATTCATTACATGCTATATTTTAAACCACAAAGAAAAGACTACTATAGTTGCCAGTTTGGCAGCGTTTTAAACTAACAACCTTCTGACCCCTAGTCTGGTTAAATAACTAAATTATTCCATTTAAAGCTCTAACTCCATCACTGTAAAGTAATGGACTTCGATGTGGATGAACTAAACCCATCCATGCATTTATTTAAAAGTAAAGTGGATCATAAAACGCACCGACGACTCATAATCAGTTTCATTTGACTCCTAATTGCTTCAGCGTCAGTATGTTCATTTAAAAGTTTCTGACGCGTTAAACCCTGGACACATTTTCAGCTGTCATTTTAAAAAAAAATAGTTCACAGCTATTATCACCAACTAGACCTTCACTGTGGTAAATTAAAATGAGAACGAAGATGAACAGACTCGATTGTAATGTCACCCTGTAATTGAAATAGTTCCATTACTTACTCTTTATGTTTTATTTCCTGCCATTAACAAGCCATAATTCGGCTGTATTTCAATTCTTACCCAGTCCATATCACTGTAACGGGACACATTATTTCTTCCTCAACTTTGACCCCACTGAACACCTCAGCCTATCTGAAGCTGATCACATGCAGGCAGGGGGATTAATTAAAGGCGTAAGTGTCGAATGGTGAGCCTGTCATCCAAGCTAGAGTATTTGACGGATTTAATGAGTCCGCTGGTGAAGTGGAGGATGAGCGAGAGAAAGGCCGAAATGTTTCATTCAGCACCCACGCTCATTCATTTTAATGGGGAATTAAATCCTACTGATGGACAGTGGGTATTACCGATAGCACACCTTCCTCACCAATTATCAGCGTTCCCACAATGCAACAGAGGTGCATAAGCACTGAATAGGATTTGAAAAATAAAAAAGCTTTTATAAAAGATGTATGTATGATTTGAATTCATATCTTCAAACTTCAAACACCATACTACTTTAGTAGTAATGGATCTGTTTTGTGCTCTGAATATGTCTTGGAAATTGGATATAAACCCAAAGTGTGTGTAACTGAAACCTTGTACAGGGTGTAACAAAAGTCTCCATACATAGACAAAGTTAACACTTTTTAGCAAATTGTCTTCCGAAATGTTTCATACTTAGTTGGACCTCAGATAGCCTTTAAGAACGGCTTTGATAAAAGAAGACCGTATTGAAATCGTTCTCATGGCTGGATCGGGAAGCTGTCGCATGGCTGAGATGGACTTTAACAGGAAACATGACGTGCACATCACACACGACACTATTTTTCCTCACCACCGTCGAGCTCAATAGGAATAAATTCACACGCTTAAAATCTGTATCCTGTGTTTATATGTTTCTGTAAAGCTGCTTTGAGACAATGACATAGTAAAAAGCTGTAGACAAATAAAATTTTCTTAAATGGAAGAGTTGCGGACCGGAGAAGACATGGACGTCCACGGACATCCTCTGACGAAGACACAACCGACGTGATGCTAGCAAACATACTGTATGGAGACTTTTGGGATACCATACAACTATTCCCTCAGAAACACAGGGGGGAAAAAATTACCCGATGTAGAACTCAGCATGATATTTCAATTCTGGCCCTGACCGTTCCTCAAACTCAGCTACATCATTCTAGTTCATTAAATGGCTGTGACATTTTCTAACGAATTTAGTTGGTTCTAGTTCCCAAAATATAAACAAACTAATAGTCTCATTTAATCCTCCGTGACACTGACCAGGCAGTTACTAAGGATTAATAAATACTTTCATACCTTGTTCACCTGCATGAAATTAAAAACCTCCTGATTGCATGACTATTTTTTGTTGTGTCCCATGGACAGTCCATATGCATACCTCTAGTCTGAACCTGATGCCCTGTGAACATTGCTAAAACAAACAAACAAACAGTAGTTCACGTCTTATTCATATCTGTATTTATATCCGTTTCGAACATATTATCTTTTCTTTTCTAACAATATATTTGTATTCACTTACGTCTCTGCCACATTTACACTCATTTATGAAATGCCATCTGTAGTACAACATCAGACTGTTCAATATATCAAGCTAATTGGATATTTGCTTTTCACCCCCCTTTGGCAGCATGGAGGCACAGCAGGTAGTGTTGGTGCCTCACAGTGTGGGTTTCATCTGAATACGTCTGTTTCCTACCATCTCCCAAAAGTGTGTGTGTGTGTGTGTACACATACACGTCCAGGTTGTAATTCTGTTTCCACAATAGGCCCATACTCCTATAGACCGTATACTAGGTAAATGGAAACTGGTGAAAACATATGTATACATACACACACACACACACACACACACACACACACACACACACACACACGTTCCATTTTGTAAAATCTTAAAGCAGTAAAGAAGCTCTATCCAACTCTGTGTAAGTTGCATTTGTAGCCAATGCAGGTATTATATATTGGAAGCACTGGAACACTGGTATATTGTCATGCTGCTTGGGTGTAAGCCATTTTGTCCCAATTTACTCTTGTTTTTTTTTTTGCTTCCAAGTGTGTGGCATATTCAAAATCTTCCAGTGTACTAAGCTTTTCAAATCTACTTTGGTTCAAAATGATTCTTACTGCATGCACAATACTAAAAATACATACATACATACATACACACACACACACACACACACACACATACATACATGTATAAATATATACTTACACACACACACACACACACACATGTACATAAATATATACTTACACACACACATACATACGTACATAAATATATACATACACACACACACACACACACACACACACACACACACACACACACACACACACACACACACACACACACATACATGTATAAATATATACTTAACACACACACACACACACACACACACACACACACACACACACACACACACACACATACATGTATAAATATATACTTACACACACACACACACACACACACACATGTACATAAATATATACTTACACACACATATATTACGTACATAAATATATACTAACACAAACACACACACACACACACACACACACACACACACACACACACACACACACACACATGTATAAATATATACTTACAAACACACACACACACACACACACACACACACACACACACACACACATACATGTATAAATATATACTTAACACACACACACACACACACACACATGTACATAAATATATACTTACACACACACATACATACGTACATAAATATATACTTACACACAAACACACACACACACACACACACACACACACACACACACACACACACACACACACATACATGTATAAATATATACTTACACACACACACACACACACACGCACGCACACGCAGGTGGTAGAGCGGGTTGTCCACTAAACGTACGGTTGGCGGTTCGATTCCCGGCCCGGGTGACTCCACATGCCGAAGTGTCCTTGGGCAAGACACCCCAAGTTGCTCCCGATGGCAAGTTAGCGCCTTGCATGGCAGCTCTGCTACCATTGGTGTGAGTGTGTGTGTGAATGGGTGAATGAGACACAGTGTAAAGCGCTTTGGATAAAAGCGCTATATAAGTGCACATTTACCATTTACACACACACACACGCGTACATAAATATATACTTACACACACATACACATACATACATGTATAAATATATACTTGCACACATACATACACATATATATATATATAACTTCTAATTAAATAGAACTGATAAGTTTTTTATCCATATCAAATAAGAGCAAAAACAACTCAGCTGATGTGTCATTTACCAAAGTTATTGTTGAAAGTGAATTAAGCCCGCTGGGTATTTGTTCCTGTCACTGCTCTAAGTAACTGATGTATTTCCTCAGTACAGAGTAATAGATAATTCACACATGACTCAGGAGTGTATTTTGATGCTCCTTGTTCTCCATAGAAAAACAGCATGCTTAACCACACCTCTTGAAAATGTAGTTTTTCTCTTTCTGTCATTTTACAATGATACAAAATCTATAAATAGTAGTTTTCAGCAGTTGGCTGGGTCTGTTACTCGCTACGTTATTCTTCTAATGCTAACTTTAACCTTGAAGATAGGGTCATGTAGAGATTAGAAGAGTAGATTAGAAGAGTAGAAGAATTGCATTATGGGGCAGTGGAGCTGGAGCAACTGATGACTTTGTCATTGCTCCTAATTGTCCCGCCAACGCTGGAATCCACCAGGAGCTCCACTTCCTAGTACACGCTGAGGCTTACAAACATGGCCACCGCGGACGACAATCCCCAAGTCCTCACTCCACAGGTACATTCCCACTTACCCGGATACTAATCAGGCACAACTGTTTCCATATATTTACACTGCCTTCGTCCAAATATCCCTTCTACCTACTGCACAGTAGGTGAAAATCAGTATGCCAAAGCAGCTATATGTCTGAAGTCTCAGTATTCATAAAACACTAGGTGAGAAATACCCAGATGACCTTCTGCTTCAGCTGAGATTCTGCAATATTGAACAACTGGACACTGTGCTATCCCATAATGCAACTGGACTGGCGCAGAAAAGCTTTTAGAATCTGTGACATGTAGTATGTCCGGATTGTATTCATGCTTATACTGATCAGTACCTACTGTATCAACGGCTGAGCAGTGGGTACTGAATCAAATGCAGTAGGTACTGTTACAGTATGAGATCAGTGGTTAAGACATTGGTCTACTGCTCAGAAGGTTGTGAGTTCAAACCCCAGTGCTGCCATTGTTGGGTCCTTGACCTAGACATTTAACCCTCAGTTGCTCCGATATATAAATGAGATAAATGTATGCCGTTCTGGATAAGATTGTCTGCCTAATGTAATGTAACAAGGGTTTTGAACCAAATTTTAGGGAAAAGTTCTCTTCCGAAAGTAACTCACAAAGCACCATTTGAATCCGACTTGCACACGCATTATTTTAAATTCAACTTGACTTTTAAATAAAGTCATGAACCTATTCTTGGGTGCTAGTGACTCATCTCGGTAGCTGTCATTTTCCCCTTCCAGGGTGTGAAGTATAAACTGAAGGCTAAACTGTGGCAAAGCACACATCTCCGTGCAAACCAGCAAGTCGAGCGCAGACAGATAGATCTGGGATGCAATTAGAGATGTCATTCTAGGTAGCTGCAGTAAAGTTCAAACCCCAGGAGGCTTGTTCTTCCTGAATAAAAGGTTAACTTCCATTCCACTTTCTTTACCTTCAATGCTTTTCTGCTCGTTTTGGAGATACTGAAGACAATTAGACTCTACAGCCAACCCCACTGGTGTCTGGAGGCAGAAGCTCAGAGCTCAAAACACCAACTAGGAAAAGAAAAAAAAAAAACTAACAAATTGCCCCCTCGACTTAGAGTTCCTACTCGGAATTTCAGGAAGGTCTCGTCAACCCCCGGGTTGTGGCGATTTTGAAACTTCACTTTAGACCAGTCGACATAAGGAAGTCAAAAAAGTTACAGTAGTCAAATGAAGTCAAATGCAGCACTGTCCTCACAACGAGGAGGGAAAAAGAAAGAAAGCGGAAGTGTGCTCATGTTACTTCCTGTAGCTAAACGATATTATACCTAGCTTAACGATGCATTTATCAGGAATATTATTTTCAGTTCTATTGTTGTATCGAAAACAGGAGATGAGACGGACTTAAAATAAGACCATATCCCTGGTAATCCCCGCTATCAATCAGTTTTCTGTAAACGAAGCACAGAAATCCCACACTCCCACCCCGTTTCAGCAGCGAGACTGGAAATCAACACCTCTGGGTTCACCGGAGCCGCAGTTGTCAGATCAAGAGTTTTGATCTCCTTCTGCTCGTCTCTTTCCTCGCAAGGAAACAGAAGTATTACATCACTTTCCTCTTACTGGCTTAAATTAAATATTGATCTTGCAGCTTTGAGCGGCGTGTTTCATATGTAGATAATGATGTGGCTGGCTTTAGATGCATGTTCCATTTGTAAAATCAGCTGGAGTAAAGATATTGTATTTCTTGTGCTATGGTGTGACCGATCAGCATGGAGCATGGGAGGTTCACTCAGGACAGATAATTTGCCAGTGTGTTTTTTTTTTGTTGTTGTTGTTGTTGTGTTCACAAATTTGATGTGCGGTCTGATTTACTGGTGTGTATACGAATTTGCTTGTGCTTTGGCCTTTGCTGTTGTGTTTATGAATTTTGTTTGTTTTCTGATTCGCTGGTGCGTTTTAATCATTGTGCGGGATGTGTTTATGAGTTTGCTGTTAGGTTTTCTGATTTGCTGGTGTGTAAACAAATTTGCTGTTGTGTTTTGGCCTTTGCTGTTGCCTTTTTTTTCTCGTTTTGCTGCTGTGTTTTACGAATTTGCTGTTAGCTTTACCGATTTGTGTTTACAAATTTGCTGTCATGTTTACAATTAGGTGTTGTAATATGTTTTCTGATTTGCGGTTGTGAATACCAATTTGCTGTTGTGTTTTTGGCTTTCCTCGTGTGTTCATGAATCTGTCGTGACTACATATTTGTTTGCTGTAGTGTTTTCTGATTGGGCGCACGGTACGTTAGTGGTTAGCACGTTCGCCTCACACCCCCAGTTTGGGGGGTTCGATTCCCATCGTGGCCCTGTGTGTGCGGAGTTTGCATGTTCTCCCCATGCTGCGGGGTTTTCTCTGGGTACTCCGGTTTCCTCCCCCAGTCCAAAGACATGCATGGTAGACTGATTGGCGTGTCTAAAGTGTCCGTAGTGTATGAATGGGTGTGTGAGTGTGTGTGATTGTGCCCTGTGATGGACTGGCACCCTGTCCAGAGTGTACCCCGCCTTGTGCCCCATGCTCCCTGGGATAGGTTCCAGGTTCCCCATGACCCTGAAAAGTGTAAGTGGTATAGAAAATGGATGGATGGATGTTTTCTGGCTGTTGCCCATGTGGTGTTATTGCTGTGTTTTTGGTTATGGTGTTGTGTTTACAAATTCGCTGTTGTGTTTTTGTTTTTGCTGGTATGTTTATGAATTTGCTGTTAGATTTTCTGATTTCCTGTTATGTAAACAAATTTGCAGTTGTGTTTTGGCCTTTGCTGTTATGTTTATGAATATAACGTGTTTTCTGGTTTGCTGTTGTGGTTTTTAAACGTTTGTGAATTTCTGTTGTGTTTTTTTTTTTTGGTTTCTCCGGTGCGTTTACCAATCTGTCGTGACTATTTGCTGCTTTCCTGTTGCGTTCTCTAACTGTTGTTAAGTTTTTTGTTTTGTTTTTGCCTCGTTAATGTGTTTTGCACTTAAGGGCCACCGTACCATGAACTCTATAACCGTTTCAAAATGATTTTACTCTTCCACAGTTATTGGATTGGATTACAGCTGCACAAATATATAAACCCTTTAATATGTTCCAGTGTTCATTTTGAAATTAGCCTAATGACATTTCTGTCAGAGCACAATAATGAGATTAGAGACTGCTTCTTTGTATTGACATTCATGGAGTTAACTGCTCCTTCATGTGCTAAAATACTCACAACTAATAATCATCCTAGTGCAAGAGGCCAGTTTGTATAAGACATCAGACAAGGAAAATGTCTAATCCTAAAATACCAGTGATTCAGTATGTAAAGCCTTAGGATGTAAGCGGCATTAGCTTCTTTAAACAGTAGCGATCTCCGTCTCGCTTTTGGTAATTTGGCAGAATAAAGCACTTCAGCAGACCCTTAATGGTGCGAAACCTGGTGTGAAAATGTTCCTCTGCTCAGGGCTAATTTCTAATGATTATTGGACTATTAAAAATATTTAATACTGCAGCAAAGGAGGACAAAATCTTGCACCGATGAGGGGAACACTTTAAGACTGGGAATGAAGGGACAACACTTGAGATGATTGAGGCTGAAATGATTCTCTTAGCTGCTTGGTGACATTTTAATCCGAGTAACCTGCTGTTCATAAGAGTGTACAGAACACACAATCACACTTGGCTTCTCTTTAGCACTTGCGGTGAAGACAATCACGGTCTTATCACACAGATTAAACAGATATATATGAAAAACAAAAACTTTTTTGTCAAATAATGCAGCCGAGATTATAAAAAAAATCAGCCGTCAACATAATGAATATTTACACATGCATTTCAATGCTTTTCACGAGTGAACTCAGTATTTCACTTTGCACTAAATCTGATCGTATTTTAATGAGTCACCGATTAAACGACCCTGATATGAAAGTACTGTATATAAACAATTTGTAACACACAAATATCACTCGAAATGTTTCAAAGAAGACAACTGAACACTGATATTCAAAAAATAACTTCTATAAGTGTTAAAAGGAGAGCTACGTCCCATATTTCAACTTTCATATCACGAGTTTCAATAGCAAACAGCACATCCCTGACCTGTAGACATATAAACAATTACGTTATACGGATTGAACAGATTAGGTTTTCTAAACAGATATAACAATAGATACAAATATTATATGATGTGCTATTTTTATTAGTTGTAGTATTAGTATTTAAAAAAAATATTATAATTTTTTAAATTTAAGACTATAAGTGTGCATTAGACTGGGATCCTGCAGAACACATGACAAAAAATGTCATGTGAGCTGTAGCATTTATTTTCATTCAAGATATGAAGCTTGTGGAACAAAGAAAGGGCCCGTTTATTACCACACGATGCACAATGCAATTTGTTCATTCATCCTTTAGTAACTGTAAGATATCCAGGGAGGAGGATGCAAGTGCGGTTAAAGAAACAACAAACAACCAGGCAAAAGGTAGGAAAAGACCTAGCTAGGACAGGAAAAACATATCAGGGATATAAACTTCCTAGAGAAACAAATGCCAAGCAACTAAGGAAAGAAAAGACTTCAGGGAAACGTCAGGGGAAATACAAGGGTGAGCGTAAACACAGGTTATCAGCCGGACAACGAAAGAAGACTTTCGTAAACATGAGTGAGGATGCCCTCTGGTGGTCTTGGGTGGAGATTGTCCACAGTGGATGTGACGGTACGATTGGTCAGGGTCATGGTGGTTTAAATTAAGCTACTATTCTTAAAAATATATATATTTTGCTAAACTATGGAAGCCTGTTTCTTCCATAGAGCAAAAAAAAAAATAATAAAGCTAATTATGACTTTATGTCTCAGAATTGTGACTTTTTTCTTAGAATTTTTCGTTTAAATATCCCAATTCTGACTTTATTTCCTCACAATTACATGTTCACGTCTCACGATTCTGACTTTTTTTTTTACTCGCAATTATGACATCCAGTCGATGCAGTAAATATGACTAACTTCGGGTTACGTGTCAAGATACAGAGATGGATACGGACACAAACGCGGATTTTCAAACATTTTATAACAAATAAACTAAATACTCTACAACAAACATACGAAACACTGTGGCATGGACAAACGCATAGTTTGTCTATGCCACAGAGTTCCTTCCCTGATACATGACAATAAAAGTTCCTTCCCTGATACATGACATTACGAGGTTTCTGTTTCTTGACTAGCTGATGAGCGTTGTTCTTATATAGCCTGTTTATAGAGAATGATTGATTCTTTGTCGGTGCATTCTTCATACCTCACTAAATGTCAAGTGAATGTCTAAACTGTGAGAAAAACAGGTCCGAATTGTGAGATGTGAACTTGTAATTGTGAGGAATAAACTCAAAATAGTGCAATATGAATTGTGAGGAGGAAAATGTCAGAATTGCAAGATTTTATCTCGCGATTGTGAGAAATAAAGTCAGAATTGTGAGATCTAAAGTCGTGGAAACTGA